CATCGAGAAAAAAAAATCATGTCGCAGAATATTGAATTCTTTTTTGAGCCCTTTCAATTGTTTTGTATTTTTTCCGGACTTGTAAACTGAAATAAAAAAAAATCCAAGACCAGATTTTAGATTGAAAAAAAAAAAAATGTCCAAGATTTTTTTTTTAATCTTTATTAGAGAGATTTAATAAAGACATTCTATGCATTCAAAATATGAAAATTATTCCAGGTCGCACAATTTTGTTTGTCTTAGAGTTCACGAATTGTTAAGTCCTTGTATTGAAAAATTGGTCGAGAATCTCTATAACTGGAATATTACATTTTTTTTCGAGATCGAGTTTTCAAGTACTAGACGCATTCATAATTTTCATGTCCACGACGTTTCCATCTTGGAAAATGTTCCTCGTTCCAGAATAATGAGATTATTTTCTATGACTGCTATCTAGAAAGGTTGTGTAGGTTCCAGAGGTATGAACAAACGTTTCTATATTCGAAATCTGTAAAATTGATTGTCTAAAAATTGTCAAAATTTGCCTAAATATATCCGAGACTTTAAACATTTGTCTCTGTGCCTCAATTTTTCATTCTAATCACCGATTCACGATCTGTTTGTTGTCATAAATTGAGTCATGAAAATGAGTGAAGAGTGAAGAAATAGACAATGTACTTGCTTATTGAATTAATGACATTATTATTTGATTTCCTAATTCCTAATAATAACGGAACTATGAACTCTATACTTTCATCTCCTAATCTATCGTATAAAAATTACCACTTTTAGTCTGTTATTTGAAATTTAGCATCTTCAACTATTATTTGCTTTATTAGGAAGGTACAAATCGGTTTGATCATCTCTCTTTACCAAACTCCCCCGTTGGAGAGGGATGGTGAGGGGTATTCCCCTTGAGTGCGGTAAAAATCGATAGAACTGTTTCAAACACATCGTCGGTACATGAGCGATTCGGCGATCATATCTTTTTGCCAGTGGCGGGGGGAATACCCCTCACCATCCCTCTCTAACGGGGGAGTTTGGAAAAGAGAGATGATCAAACCGATTTGTACCTTCCTAAAGTTGTCCTTGCTCGCTTTCTACTCTCTATATACAATTTTCACACTGCCGTACTCTAACGGAACTATCAACTCTATACTTTCATATCCTAATCTATCGTATAAAAATTACCACTTTAGTCTGTTATTTGAAATTTAGCATCTTGAACTATGTAAATCGTTGATTTCACGTAGAAGTAATACAAAAAAATATAGTCAAAGTAAACAAATAATAATGTTTCGAGATCATTTTGGTGGGATCCTTTCCTTAAATCATTATTTGTTTTATTTTAAAAGAGCATGAAAGCTGCCCATGATGGGTTGTGATTGTAAGTTTATAAAATTTCTCGAAGTGGCTCGCAGTCAACAAAATATTGGAGCGATTTTTTTTATCAATAACCGTCAATATGAGTCACTTTTGTATTGTTTTAAAGTCACTATTTGCTCGCTTTTTCGTTATGTTGTCACTACTATTATATTACATAACCACTACCAGCCCGTATTATTCTTGGCAGAATTTTTTAAACAAAATCTTCCAGTTTCTAGAACCCTACAGATTCTTCCTAGTCCCTTAGCCTTGAGAACTAGTTGATCATTAAGATTAGTGTTAGGATTGTCATATCATGTGTGTCCTGTGATATCATCATTATTTTTGTCGTAGGGTTCACTTGAATTTTCTTTCCCATAAAATGCTCCCCGAAAATCCTTTAGATTGGCTGTAGAATTCTAGGGGAATTCTCATAATCCCCATAACACTCTCTTTAAACTACTTGGAGTCAATCTTTAGTTCTCTTTGCAATTTTAATTGAAAAATAACCTGGAACTTATATTTCTGTAAAATTTGTTGGGATTTCTCTCTCCATTTGGCATTCTCATTAAAAAAAATCCAAATCATTCTTCAAAGTGTCAGAATTCTCAAATGTTGTCCAAGTCCAATGACCATTTCTTTTTAATCTGTGTTGTTCAAAATAGCGCCCCAATGGTTCACAATATCGATTTTGCCCCAGCAAGCTAAATGGATTTCTTATCAAATACTTATCATTTTCCCAAAATTTGAGGTCATTTGGTTGCGAACTCATACTGCACTGGCCCTTTGAAGTTTATATGGGAATTACAATGGGAAAAGTGAACTCTTTGTTCTCCTCATCCTAGACTTTCGCCAACATAGTTCATGAGTAAGCTTGTCATATATACATAAGGAATTTTCTCAACTACAACTTTACACGACAACTTAATTAGTTATTGATTGATTTAGATTTTATGGCAACACTGCTTCTTGCACTGCAACATAGTAGCCTGGATTTTTGTCCCTATTCTTTGCGTTAAGTACACCAATGTTGCCTGTTGAGCAGTTAATGGAGCATGTCAGAAGAATACCATCCTGCTAATGAATTAATAACTAATTATCCTGTCGTTCAATTGCAATGTGGTATATCCTGATGAATTTGAGCGTCTTAGTGGAATACCTGTATAAAGAGAGAGCGAGAGAAGGATTAGTAATTTCCATTTAATTCCACTACTTTATTTGTTTATCCTTGACAGAGACGCGTATTTCACAGTCGAGGATTAGTACAAGACACTGAAGAAGTCTGCACATTGTAGACGAAATACGCGTATCTGTCAAGGATAAGCAAATAAAGTAGTGGAATTAAATGGAAATTACTAATCATTCTCTCTCTATATACAATTTGGTATTCAGCAAAGTTGTAGCTGAAAAAATTCTCTATAAGTTTATATGGCAAGCTTACCCTTCAATTATTTTGGTGAAAGACTAGGATGAGGAGAACAAAAATTTCACTTTTATCATAGTAATTCCCTTATAAACTTCAAAAGGCCAGTGCAGTATGAGTTCGCATCAAAATCACCCCAAATTTTGGGAGAATAATCAGCGCCTGATTTAGAATCGATTGAGCTTGGTGGAGCATAATCAATTTTTTGAACCACCCTAAGCGCCATGTTTGAAATTTTGATAAGTTCAAGAATGTGAAAAACTGACTTCACCTCAAAATCTTAAAAAACTCTCTCATGTAATCTTTAAACAAAAATTCTTAGTCCGAGAGCTCAAATGTTATTGTTCTAAATCTCATTGTTTTATATGAGAATTTCAAAGCTCAATCACTTTATAACATTCAGGCCCAGTAGCGTTCGGGCTAGTGGCCTTCGAAAAATGTACATAGAACATAGAAACATTTCATAATCCTGTGATTTTTAAATTTCGGACTTCTCAAAACTATCTAAAATTAAACTTTACAATTAGTTGCGATTGTCTTATGAATTGTAAAGTTATTGAAAATTTATAGTGTTGCTAAATTGCAGAAATCTACCTCGCCGGTATTCCTTTTCTACCATATTTAGCTGTTTATATGAAAACGGGAAAAGCATGTTAAGCACCGGGAATACGGGAATTTAATTTCTTAAATTAAGTGGCCACCCTTAACTCTATATTATTCAAATCTCTTAGCGAAATGAAATCAAGTATGACTTCCCTTAGAAACGCAATTAGCCAGAATGTTCACACTTTATATAGCAGTGTTTAGTACTTGAGATGAAAATTATAAAATTAACACCGTACTACTGAAATGGAGGCCACATTATACACATTTGATAGTCTCTCTCCGCAGCGTAGAGACACTATGTATCAGCAACTAGTTAACTAGTAGCAAACAGCAACAGCAACAACCCACACGGATGCGTAATTACAGAGGTAGACTGCTGTTGTATGCCGCGTATGTAAACCATTTACCGACTGGCGTGCCATTTAATTGACTACAAACGCAAATTACAGCCTATTAGTCGCCGGTATTAGCATTAGCGATGGCACACGGGAACAGGTGCGTTACCTACTTAGAATTGGCGGGATTGGAGTAAAATCGTTCTGGAACTATCTCCGTACCGAAATCGGCTCAGGACCCAGCTTAGGGTCAAGTCCGTTCTTCATATCGCAATGGAGACTGCCCTGCCAAGCGACGAACCTTGACCCAGTACAATTCAGAGCCGCAGACCCAGTTCAAGGTCCCGTGACCACAGAGGAATGCGTGTACGTCAAAACGCAGACAGGCACGAAATAAGGCCTCGAACTCTAAAAAGCTACCGGCAACTATGGCAAATATGTACTAACAACCGACGACGCGAAGGGGGAGGGCAGCAAAAACAACAGTACAGTAGCTGCCGCATATTATTACATCTCTATCCATGAGCGACAACGACGACGACGACATCGACGCAGGAAACTACCGCACCGTACCCTTCAATATTAGCAGCAGCAGCAACAGTGAAACATTTAACAGTCGCACATATGTGCGTTTTAAATGGTGGAACGTGAAAAAAAATCTGCGACATGACCTTCACCGTTTGAAAATTAAAGAAAATGATATAGAATTATCTTTCCCCTGTCCCCGGTGGTCTTTCTTCCCTCTCAAACGCAATAGACGATGTGTTGTTGCTACTGTACTGTGTCGCGTTCTCCCGCTTTGTGTCTCTTTCATTCAACTACCGCCCCCTCGAGGTGAACTTTGCTATTCCCCCCTGGCAGTTCCCCCTCGGTGACCGACTGACCAGCCCCCATCCCCATCACCCCCGAAACCAACTCGGCAGCACGCTGTACGACGTTATGTGATTTTTTCCAAAACAACTACGCGAATCCATATTATCAAATCCGAACCTAATGGAGAGCTATCAAAACTCAAGCGCGTAATTACTGGTGTGTCATCCGTTCGGTTTCGCTAGCCCCTCTGCCGGCAGTGGGTGTGGGCTGTAATTTACGCTCCAAGACAAGATGTTCTCAACCAATCCGGGGGTCTCCAGTAGCGAACAGCCGATGCTATCGTTCAATCTTGCAATCCTACTGCTAAAACAATTCATCTCGTCCCGCGCCCGGAGGAAGCTTTTAATCGTCCATGTCGTGAAGAGCATTAGAAAACTAATAGATTTCCTGTTTTTCTGTGTGTTTGGATGTTGTTACAGTCCCGCGTTCCGCTGAACCGCGCCGTGTCGATGGAACAGCGCTGGCAGGATCTGGCCAATCTGCTAAGCTTTCCACCCGGGATGGGCGTCGGTATGGGAGTAGGCGATATGCCACCGGCACACCCGCACCCGCACTACCCACCGCACTACTCGTACCAGGTAAGTGACTTTCTTGTAGTTAACGTTTTAAGCTGAATGTTTTAATTTTGTCGGACCTCTTAACGGAATCCCTTTGTGAAGAGCTTTTCCTTGGGTGTGTTGATTTATTTCCTTTTCCAGCTTTCCCCCGAAGAACGCGTTACCCACTGAGTTGCACCCACCGCTTTGTCTCGGTGGGTTTTCAACCAAGCGCTCTGATTTTCTGCGAGTGACTAGTTCTCCATTGACCCTACTCACATGCAAAAAATCAGACCGACTGGTTGAAACCCCGCCGAGAAAAAGCGGTGGGTGCAACTCAGTGGGTAACGCGTTCTTCGGGGGATAGCTGAAATTCCTTTATAATTGCTTATCTTTTGACTGATATGCGTATTTTGTCTACTACTTGTAAAATTCATCTTCATCTTTTAAGGTGATTTCTTGTAGGGTCCACAAATGGCATGCATTACCACTTCGAATTTTCAATTACACAAATCTCGGAAATCAGTGCCCAATTTCACCTGAAATTGCTACTTCATGTATGCTGCAGTGCAGCAAACGTGGGGTAACAATTTGAATGTTGCACATGTCGTAGAAGCTTATATTTGTGCAGTTAATGTTTCGTAGCGGTTCCGAGAATAAGGATGTCACAGCGAATCACCTTAAGCTGATTTCTAAAGGATTTTTTGGTTTTGGGTCCTGGAAATGTTTGAGCTCATTTTTTGCTCATGTCGAGAAAGTAGCTTGATAAATCTTAAAATATTGCTAACCACAATTAAAGCTCTGTACACGGCCGATAGGACTGACTCATAGAGAAATAGTCACTTTTACTCAGTTGCATGAGAAATTTCTAAAAACGTAGGTTACCCAGCGCTGAGTGATCTAAATTTTTAGAAATTTCTCATGCAACGGAGAAAAATTACTGCCCTTTCTTAGTTAATCTCATCGTCCGTGTCCAAAGACTCAAGTTCAAGGAGTTTTCAAGCAGAAAATCTGAAGCATTTATATGAAAACGTAAATGGCTTTACAATGAATTGCCTATAGTTAGGCGTATTTCTACTTTTGTCATTTGTTGTAGATACCAGTTAAAATTTGAGGTTTAATTTGTATTGTTAATCATAGATCTCGGCAGCGATTTATTGTTTTTTTTTTCAATAGAATAACAGTATGTACCGTAAAAATTGAAAAATCGTCATACATTGTGTATGTAAATTTTTCCTTTTTTCTTTATGGCGCATAGCAATGAGCCAAAATGTATGCAATAAAGTAGGGTGTTCTGTAAGGGAAAAATTAAAATATCTCGAAACTGCAAGCATTTGAAATCAAACGAATTCCATACACAGGATACCTTATTCAATGTGTACAACTTACTCGAACAAAGCTTTGATGAAATTTTAGGTTATTCTATAGGTTATAGTTTCACAATAAGCATATCGTTGGAATAAAAACTATTGAAAACTTATGATATTATATGGATTGGGCAGCGCTTTAGTTATTTTTTTTTCAAATGCAACTATGAGGTGTTGGTCCTAGAAAAAGTGCTGTTTCTGTGTCGAAAAAAAAAAATAGAAACTTACTTCCAAAGAGAAAATGACGTATCTTTATGATACAAAAAAGTTTGAAGAAGATGTCGATGACGGGAAATCAGAAAAGTTATTGACAAAACATTGATTTTTAGAAGTCTCCATTTAAAAACCTTACATATCTCAAAAGCTGTTAAAGATAGAGAGTTTATGTCTTCTACAAAAATGCTTAATATTATCTAATACTTTGCCAAAGACATTATTTTGCTATCTCGACTTTGAAAAAAATAAATTATTAATCCATCTCCCTGTTGATTAATCAAGAAAAAGTAAGGTTCAAACGAACGAGCTTGACACTGTATGTCTAAATTAATCCGTTTACGCGTAATTAATAAAATGCACGGCGCAGCGCTTTTAAACCACTATTGTGCACTAGTGGGGCAAACGTTCGAAAACTTAATGACAGCTTTTCAGAAGTTTTGCCACTGCAAATCTTTAAATGACTCATAACACTAGTGTACGCTGGTGGTCATTTCCCACGTAAAATCGTGTGTTTAATCCAAAAATGTAGTCAGTAGGATAGTTTTCTAGATACAGCTAAAAAATGAAATTTAACTCAAAAAACCTTGTTTACTAAAATACAAATAGGGTAAATGACGGCTTCGGAAATATCTTATTATATTATCGTCAGAAGGTAAATATTATCCTTGAGAGCTCAACTTTGGCATGTGGATACATTGTGTTTCAGAGCATCTATTGGCCAAATTTGAGTGCTCTAGGACAGGGTGTCTACTACCTGGAAAAACCTGAAAAACCGGGAATTTACAGGGAATTTTATTTTTTTCTGGAAAAACCTGGAATATTCAGGGAATTTTGGTTCCACTCAGGGAATTTTCCAATTATCACTTCATTCGTAATTCAAAAAAAGTTTTTCGTTCAGTTTCTCGAAACGTTTCTTAAGGACACTGAACTTGACAAGCATCTGACAGCTAAGACAACGTTTGCGAACGAGACAAGTTCATTCAGAGAGTCTTGTCACGCTCGCTCTTCGCTGATTTGTATGTGGAGGATCAAAATCGTCGTAAAAAGGAAACAGCCGAAAAAGAGAGACTGGCAACCGTCAAAAGGAAGCATACGAAACATGTATTGTATAAGAATAAGCAGGTCTGAGATCCAACATAGAATTTTTTTTTTGAGCTTCAGAGAGGGTCGGAGATCTACTGAGAAATTTGTTGAGCTTCAGGGTAGTTCGTAGATCTTGAGAACAGAACTACAAACAAATTAAAAGTTATTAACAGAAATTCATAAAAACAAAATCACAAGAGAGGTCGTAGATCTTCAGATAAATGTTCGAAGAAATTTTCAAAACTTCAAGCAAGCCAAAATAATTTCAAATCAATTTGTAAAACTATAAGCGAAATTTTACAAATCTTCAGGGAAATTCGCATAACTTCAGACAAGTCCAAGAATCTACAGTGAAATATAAAGTATTTCACAGAAGTTTGGAGATGCTCGAAACATTATTCAACATCACAAAAGTTCGTAGATCTTCAGAACAAAGCTACAGAACTTTGAAAAAAATCACAGGACTTCTGAAAAAATCACAAGAATCTCAGAAATGTTAATGGATCTTCAGTAAAAATTGCAGAACTTCAGGGATTTAAAAAAATAAATATTTACACGATTTCAGGAAAATTTGTAGATCTTGAGAGAGACATTTAAAACTTCAAGGAAGCTCAAATATTTTCTGATAAATTTTGACAACTTTAGGTAATCTTCAAGGAAATTTTCAAATCTTCAGGGTAACCCTAGAAGAATTTACAAAACATCAGAGAAGTTTGCAGATCTACTGAGAAATTTATGGAGCCTCAAGTTTTTTTTGTAGATCTTGGGAATAGAGCTACGGAGCTTAAGACGACTTTACAGAACTTTAAAGATATTTGCAGGAATTTGACGGAAAGTTTCACAGTTTCAGAAAAATTCGTTAAATGTCAGAAAAGCACCTCAATTCCAAAAACAAATCGCAGCGAAGTACAAAAGTACAATATTTTGCAGAACTCCATGGAAGTCGGAAATAGATAAATCTAAAGAACTTCAGAGAAGTCCGTAGACCTTAAGAGAAGTCTGTAGAACGTCAGAAAATTCGTACGTTTTTAGAAAAATTTGCAAAACTTCAGCAAAACTCGCAGATCTTCGGGAAAGTTCGCCGATCTTAAGATCAAGAATCCACAAAGAAATTTAAATAACTTTAGAAAAGTTCGGAGATCTACTGTGAAATTTATTGAACTTCAGGGCAGTTCGTAGATCTTTAGAGCAGAAATACAGTACTTCAAAAAACTTTACAGAATTTGAAATAAATTTTAGGAACTTCAGAAAAGTTCAGAGGGTAGGTCGTAAATCTACTCAAAAATTAGCAGATATTTAAATAAATTTTCAGAATTTTACTGTGGTTCTTGGATTTCAAAAGACATTCACAGAACTTCAGGTAAGTTCGCTGATCTTTAGAGATATTTTCACAGCTTCAGTAAAAATAGAAAAACTTCAGAATACTTCCTAAAACTTCCGGAAAGTTCAAACATTTCTAGATAATCTTTTAATTCTTTAGAAAATTGTATAGATGTTCAGAGATATTTGCAGATATTCATTGAATCATGAAAATCTGCAGAGAAAATTACAGAACTTTCGAGAAGTTTGTAGATTATTAGAAATGTTGTGAACATCAGAGATAATTGTTGATCTTCAAGGATCTTAAATCTTCAGGGATTCAGGAGCTTTGTAGGTTTTTAGGAAAATTTGCTGAACTTCTGAAGAACACACAGAACTTCAAAGAAATCTGTAGAACTACCGAGACATTTGCAGATTGTCAGGAAAGATTGTTGATTTTTAAGGAAATTTTACCGGAGAACAGAAACAAAACTTCAGGGACGTCAGATGGTTTGAAGACCTTGCAGAATTGAGTTGTTAACAGAAATTTTCAGAACTCAAGGAATCATGTATATCTAGTGAGAACTTTTCCCACTAGCTTGTCTAAAGTTGGTATCGACATCCTGGCGAAGTTTTGAAATCCATTTTCATCTTCATATCGCAGCTCTTGATGGACAAGATGAGCCAAATCCCTGCCGGTGTTCCTCTTGAGCAACCATTTCCTACTCCACAAAGTTCACCTTCTCTTTCTCATTTTATTTAAAATAATAAAAGCAAATACGTCTACCGAAACTAGAGCAATTTTCCGGTAATTCATGATGGAAGTATTTACTTTTGATTCCTGATACAGTTTTGTTTTGAAATCTAAATTGACAGTTCTTTCGACATGTGCAAGCAGTGTGAACACCAGCAAACAGGGGGGTTCGATAAAATAATAATGTGTATAATTTGTATGCACCTGGAATTTTTTTCATCCGACCTGGAAAAACCTGGAAAACTCAGGGAATTTGATTCCTTGGATTGAGTAGACACCCTGGACTTTGACGATAATGTATTACCGAATCCGACATTTCCCCT